CTCGCCTTCGAGCAGCAACTCCCTTCCCCCCTCCCCCCTCCGTCCTCCCCCCGTTCTGCGTCCCCCCCCCCCGGGCTTTTATCCCGCCCCACGGGATCACGAGTGCGCAAGGCATTTCAGTTTCGGTGCCGAAGCTGTGTCTGCCGTTTGGGGCCCCCTTTTTCAGGAATCCCGCCCCAGGACCGTCAGCAGGAGCCACCTCGTCGAGAAGCGCGCGCGCCCCGGCCCTCTCGCCCCCCACCCCCCCCCCCGTGTGAGGACCGTCTTTAGGCCTCACCCGTGAGGACCGTCAATAGGCCTCACACACCGCGCAGCTTCCATCATAGGGGCCGCGTGGGTCCCCCGCCACACCTTCACATGAAGGCGTTAACAGCCACCGGAGGAGACCGAGGACCTCCCTGCAGCCCCTCGGCCAACGAAGACGGCTGCAGGGAGGGGCCGAACGTACCTCCACACCTTTTCATCTTCACATTATGGCGTCAATTGCCGCCCGCTCGATGTTCCTCCATTTTCCTCCCTCTCCCCCTCTGCTTCCCTCCCCCCCCTCCCCCCCTACCAGCCATTCCCTCTGGGGCAGGAGGAGGCCCAGATCTTAATGACCAACTTGGGCGTGGCACTGCCATCGAGAGCCCGTCAGGTCGGTGGCGGCCCCGCTCGGTGGCAACGCTGCGACCAGGCCAGCCAGAGGTGTCGTGGACACCTCGTCTTCCCCCCGCCCTCTCGCGCCCTCCCGCCCCCGCGCCCTGGCCCCGCCATCTCGCGAGCTCTGCCTGCACCCGTCCCGTGCGCGCTCTCACCCTCAGGAGTTCGCGTCCCATGCGCGCTCCACGGCCGCCGCGAGCCGCTCTGCACGTGGCTGCGCAACGTCGCGCGGGGGCGGGCAACAGAGGCAAGACCCGCGGAGCTCCACGTCATCGGCCACAGCAGCGACGACCCGGCCCCCGCTGGCGGGCAGCGCACAAGCCACACACACACACCCTCAGCAGCAGCGATGGGCGCAGCACGTGCTCAGGCGAGCGGAGGCCGACGGCGCCAGCTGCCGTGCTGGGGCCACCTGCTCGAGAGCAGGGCGGGCAGCGGCGGCACCTGTGTGCGAGGAGGCGGTCGGAGGAAATCGGTCGTCGGCCACGGTGCAGGGCTCTGGTCTCGAGGGAAGGCGCGTGGTGGCAGCAGCCGGCTTCGTATGCGAGAAGGGCCAGGAGCGGCAGCAGGACCTGTCAATGCTCAACGAAAAGGCGGGAGGCGAAGCGAGAGCCCGATGTCCTCAGCTGCAGCGCTAAGATCGGGGCGTGCGAGGAGGGCGAGCAGGCGGCTCCAGCACTACTCTGAGAGAAGCGGGCGGCAGAGCTGGAACCTGAGCTTGCCAGAAAAAGCGCTGGGTAGAGCGTGTGCGAGGAGGGCGAGCAGCGGCAGCAAGCTCAACCACTACTCGAAGGCGAAGCTAGAGCCCGGTGCCGTCAGCCATAGCACTGGGATCAAAGCGTGCGAGAAGGGCGAACAGCAGTTAGCTCCGACATGACTCTGCGAGAGGTGGGGTGCGAAGCTGGAGCCCGACTTCGTGAACCACAACGCTCAGAAGGACGAGAGCGTGCGAGCAGACATCATTAGCACCAACTCTGGGACTTGCTCGTGCGGCAAAGAGTGAGCCGACATAATCAGCCACGATGCTGGGATCGTGTCGGGCGAGAGCGTGCGAGCCGATATCATCAGCACCACCGCTGGGAAAAGGTCGTGCAAGAAGGGATGTGCAGACATCATGTGCTGCAATGCTGGGGTAGGCTGTGCGGGAATGCCAAGGCGTGCGACAAGGGCAGGCAGTGGCAGCAGGGGTGGAGGAAGAACGCGAGCCCGACGTCATCAGCTACAGCGCCGGGCCCATCACCCAAGCCAGTGGAGGGCCGCAGCAACCAACGCGATCAGCCAGAGCGTTGGCGCCAGCTCGTGTGGAGAATCCTCGAGAACGCGCGTGCATCCGCCCGAGGGCACGGGCACGCCACGGCAGCAGCGGTGCCGGCGCGAGAAGGCAGGCCGAAGAGGCAGCGGGCTGCAGTGTCAGAGGCCGCGCGTCGCCGGCGGCAGCTGGGATCGGCGCGCGGCCGGAGCGGCAGCGCGCGCGCGACCAGAGGGGGGGCGCCGGCCTGGGGGCCAGGCTGGGGCACGCGCGTCGTCGGCTCCCAGTCCTCGTTGCTCATTTTGGCTGCGGTGCTGCCGGCAGCTCGCGCGCGAGAGGCCGGAGGCTGGCCGCATGCGGTCTGCCCCGGGGCGGCCAGGGTGGCGGGGCCCTGCCGCGGGGCCGTCGGGGCGTGCCTGCACGCCTCCTGTCGTCCGATTGATCGCGGCACTCCCCAGCGACACCCCCTCCCTCCCTCCCTCCCTCCCTCCCTCCCTCCCTCCCTCCTCCTTCCCTCCCTCTCCCTCCTCCCTCCCCCCATCCTCCCTCCTCCGCCCTCCCCCCTCCCGCCCTCCTCCCTCCTCCCCCCTCCCCCCTCCCTTCCTCCTCCTCCCTCCCCCCTCCCTGCCTACCCTCCCTCCCTCCCGCCCCTGCCTGCCTCCCTCCCTCCTCCCCCCTCCCTACCTCCGTCCCTCCGTCCTCCTCGCCCGCGCGGTCTCGTCGTCCTCGCCCCTGGAGCTCCTGGACCGGCTCCTCATCCTGAGCCGCTTCCCTAGAGGTCCCGACCCCTTGCCTGGGGCCAGTTTGTCGCCCTGGATCCATGTCTGGTTGTCCTGGGGCACGAAAACAGGCCCTGGATGCCGGCTCCTCTTCGAGTGGCCAGGGGCGTCTCAAGGTCTCCATAGGGCCCAGTGTTGGACGCAGCCCTCCAGAGGCCCCTTGGGAGGCACCCAGAGGCCCTCCGGAGGGGCCCCCATCCACCATCACAGAACTGCTCGCGACGAATACAACTATATGATTATATACACACATAGATACAAACGTTTATACATCTCTTTATATACACATATATATATATATACATATATAAAAATATGTGTATATATATATATGTGTGTGTATCCCCATCCGAGGGACGGCCCTCAGATCCCATCGCGGCAGCAAGAAAAAACGTTCCGAAACGGTAGGCGTTTCATCATCATCCCGGGCCCTGGGTTTCCTTAGGGCCGGCTCTGCGCCCCTGGGGCGGACGGCTCAACACCAATCGTGACGTCGGATGTCAGGGCAGAAGACCCCAGAGGCCCACGACAGGAAAATCCCCTCCACCCCCCAAAAAACACTGACGCTCCTGCCCTCTTCTGGCACGGGCCCCAGACCACTCGGTCCAGCCTCTGGGACAAGTTTCGGCTGCCACGCGCGAGCGACGAAAGGCGACAGCCTCACGCGAGATGGCATAGCAATCTTACGCTGCGGCTTACGCAGGCCGCCAGCGCGGCACGCCACATTGAAGCGAGGGCACTTACGCGCGCAGGCGGTCGTGCGAATGTCGGCGCAGTCGACCCCGTGTCTCTGCGTTGCCCACATGTGAACCCCATGCCTGCGAGTAAGAACTCCTGATGGTCCGGCTGGCGTTCAGAGATCGAAGGGTGCCCGCAGCCAGATGAACCCGAGCGGGTGGAATTTGCACGGACCAGGATGGAACAACAGTATGTGTAATCATGAATGTGCTCACTCTGGTTCGCTGCAAGTTGCAGTTGGGACAAGCTGGTTCCCGGTTGTTCAGCTGCGTTGTAGACGTGCGCGGCCGCAGCTTGATACCCCAGCGACGGAGTGGACCCGTAGGGGCAGGCTTCGCAAGCGGTCGCGGAGCCACTCTTCCGCTGAGGGGCCCGCACTTGCTGCCGGCCCCACCAGGACTCTCGGGAGGGGGAGGGGGGGGGCAGCGAGCCGCGCCAGGAGCCCACACCGCGAGGGAAGCTCGGCCGCCAGCTCGTGTTTTGAGCCGTCGTCTGGCGCCCCAGAGCGGCCAGGTCCCCCCCGGCGGGAGCAAATTCCATACCCACGCACTCGCGATCTGGACCCCGTGGCGCGATCCCGTGGACACGCGGTCGCGTAGCTGGACATCCGCGCGGGGCATCCGCGCCAAGACGCCGCGCATCCAGGAGGCCACGCCCCAAAGGCCCGGCCCCGGAGGCCGTGGATGGATGCCCTTGTGAAAAGCAATTGAGAACGCCCTCTGGGCTACCTTCAGCACCGAGACCCAAAGGAATACTCCGTGGGGGCGGGTTTAGCGGGGCGATGTCTTTAGCGCCGCGCTTTAACCACAACAAATATAGAGTCACTGCCCCACCCGTCCCCGCGACACCCCACGAGGTCGGGGGAGCCCGCACGGCACCCTTGCGCTGCAGGAGCAGCCAGTCGATGTAGTCCCTGCAGCGCTGCCGCTCCGCGCGGGTCCCCGCGATGTACGCCGCGTGCCCGACGTACTGCAGGACGGCGCCAGCCGCCGTCTCCAACTGGCGGCAGCGGGAGGGAAAGATGGAGTGAGTAATCGGTTGGCGGGTGTATTGGGTTACGGTGTAAAGAAGGCGGAGGTACACTTGGACCCGTCTTAAATGACGTCTTCGTTGGCCGAGGGTCCATGACGGAATCCTCGACCCCTCCCAGGTGCCCTTTGACAGCAGACTTGAAGGCCAATTGGCGGCAGAATTGACGGAGGCTCGCGCGGCCGCGCCGAGGCTGAGGGGGGGGGGGGGCGGCGGCGAGGCAGGGAGGAGGACAGGGCGAGGGGGAGCGGCCTGGCGCTCCTGATCTTCCTTCTCCTCCGCATCCTTTTCCTCCTCCTCCTCCTCCTCCTCCTCCTCTTCCTCCTCCTTCTTCTCCTCGTCCTCCTCCTCCACCCCTTTTCCTCATAAGCAGCCCTTCCCTGTCGCAACCCCAGACGTATCGGCAGGGCGAGCCGGGCGTTTCGCCGGAGACTTCCTCACCATGTAGGATCCTGCAGCTTGGAAATTGCAACAGCTTCACGGATGGAGGGCGGGCCGTTTTCAAAATGAGGCTCTCGCCGTAGCGCCGCGCACATGCGTTTGAACATTTTGCATCAGCTTCAAAGATGGAGGGCGGGTCGTTTTCAAAATGTGGCTCTCTCCGTAGCGCCGCGCACTCTCTCGACATAAACGGTTGCCACAGTTTCAAGGATGGAGGGCGGGTCGGTCTGAGAATGTGGCTGTCGCCGTAGCGCCGCGTACATTCCTGATTTAAGTTTGCAACATCTTCAAAGATGAAGCTCGGCTCGTTCTCAACATGTGATTCTCGACTTAGCGCTGCGCACATTCGTTTTAAAAGCTAGCAGCAGTTTCAAAGATTCGCGTAGTCGAAGTTCCAGGAATAATGCACTGGTAAAGTCTGAACACTCCAGTTGATTCGCAACGTTGGAGTCCTAGAAATGGTGCCCTGGCACGGCTTACTGTAGGATTCCAGGACGCAACAATCACGTTGATTCGCAACGCTGAAATCCCAGCAATTGCATTTTGGCAAGATCTAAGATTCTCAAACGGTTACCTTCTAATAAGGCGTTTCCCGGAATGAAAACCCGCCGATTCCTCAGCGTATATGAGACGCCGTCGCCGTCGTCGTCGCCGCCGTCATCGTCGTCGCCAGTCCCAAGGAAATTGAAGAACAAGGAAAAAGAAGGTCATAATTCAGTCGATTCCCTTCCCTGTTTTCCTTCTCTCCGAGGAGGAGGAGGAGGAGGATGGGAGGGGGGAGGGGGGTACGGAGGGGCCCCAAGTCTACCAAGAGAGGTCCCGCTTGTGGGGGGGGGTACTCCCGGGACAGACTACCGCCCCCACCCCTCCCCTGGGTTCCCGGAGGTCCTGGGGAGTTGCCAGCGGGAGTCCCGGGGGAAGTCCTGCCTGTGGTGGTGGTGGTGGGGGATGGTCCTGGGTCGGAGTACCACACGGTGAGGGCTCCTGGAGAGGTTTCGCCTGTGGTGGGGGGAGTTGGGGGGAGGCGTCCCAGGGGGCAGGCCAGTGGGGGCCCTTAGGGGGGATTCCCGGCCTCCAGGGTCGGCGGCAGCGGCCGTCAGGCCTTCTCGACGGACTTGACTCCTGCAGGGCCCTGTGAAGGCAGGACCTGGAGGGAGGGTTTCCCGCAACACCGTTGGCGCGTCTTCTGTTTGCCCTGGTCCCCACCTCCTTCACCAGACTGGGGGTGGGCCTCCTGCTTAGAGGGGCCTGCCCATGCTCCTCTCGGGTCGGGCGAACGGGGGGGGTAGCCAAGGGGGGGGGGGAGAATCAGCTCACGTAGCTGATTTTCCCGGCGCCTCCCGGCGCTGGAGGCGGCTATGTATCGAGGAACAGGCCCCTCGGTGAGGCCGAAACCAGCTGCATGCAGCAAATTTCGTAACCCCCCCTTTCCCAATCCCCCCTTTCGGCCCCGGTTCCTCGCGGGCAGTGCCCCAAATCCACACCCACGGCACCGCGGCGCCGGCCGCCGTCTCCAGCCGGCGACGGCGGCGACGCGCGCGGTCGAGCCGAAGGGTCCGCCGCGCGCGGCAGGCCGCCCGAGGCTGAGGGGGCTCCGGGGGTGGGGCGAGCGGGGGCGCTGTGCAGCTGCTCTTTCACAGGTTGCCTCCGCGCTGCGCTCGGGCATGTGCTTCCCTTGCGCTCTCGCTTCGCGTCCGCTCCGCTCCCGTTCCGCCTCCGTTCAGATACGCCATCCGAGCACAACGGGGCCGTGCGGGCACGAAAACGACGCGGGAGTGGCACGCAAGAACTGCGGATGCTTTGAAGAAAGGAGAGGCACAACGCAGTACGAAGGCTCCCACGAACGGCTGCACAAGGGGCGGTCTCCCGAGAAGGCCTGGGGTGGCCTCTCAGAAGGGCCTGCCCAGTCTCATCGCGTGCGGGAGCCTCGTCCATGTCTAGGAGTAAACGATATCCTGATACGACTGGAGCAGGATGCGTTCCAGGAATTCTGAAGCATCTTGCGGCCGTCGTTTCTGCAGCCCGCCTGAAACTTTAGGAAGTCCGGTGACTCCTGGAAGCCTCGGAACGCATCAGTACCATGACCTCTTGCTCCTCTGCCCTGGGAGCTGGGCCCACGGGCCGCGACGCTTGTGCGGTAACTCACCGGGACCTCCCGCGTCATAGTGGTGGCTCTTGCGGTCGACGCCAACCGGCGCGAATCGACGCTAAGTCGACGACCCTCTGACTGCCTACCAAACCACCCCAACCCAACCCGAAGACCCGAAATTTCGGGTTGGGGGTGGTACGGGCTTCTGTGCTTTCTCAACGTTCCCCGACCCCCCCCCAACTGGAAATGGAGGGCGAACTGGGGCCCTCGGGTTGGGTTGGGGTGGTTTGGTGGGCGGGCGCTGGTGATCGGCGCTCGATCGATGCTACCAGACGCGCACGCACGCCGGCGCACTCCGACGACGGGGCCCCGGGGCCCCGCGAGGCTCCCCTCGAGGTAGCCCACCGCACGGCCCCGCGGGCACGGGTGCTTCTGCTGCGGCGGCGTGCCCGCGCAGGCAGCCATGCGACCGCGCCTCCGCGGCTCCCGGTGGAGCTGGTGACGCCGTGGCCCAGCGGCGCGTCCCCGCCATCCATGAAGGGGCCCACAAACACACCAATAAGTACACACAAGTAAAAAGATTCCCCATATTTCCCCATATTTTCGGGGTTTCTGTCTTCCCCCCCACTTCCCATATTTTCCCATATTTTCTGGAGGATCGACGATTAATTGTGTCTGTGTGTTTCTTTCCCTCCTAAATCTAACACGCCCGTCCCTCGCGCGCCCGGCGGTCTCGGTGGGGGCGGCGGCCTCCAGCCGGATCCGTCGGTCTCTGTCCGCCTGTCCGTCGGTCCGTCCGTCCGTCCGTCCATCTGTCTGTCTGTCCGTCTGTCCGCCTGTCTGTCTGTCCGTCCGTCTGTCTGTCTGTCTCTCTGTCTCTCTGTCTGTCTGTCTCTCTGTCTCTCTGTCTGTCCGTCTGCCTCTCTCTGTCCGTCTGTCTGTCTCCCTCTGCCTGTCTGCCTGTCTGTCTGTCTGTCTGTCTCTCTCTCTCTCTCTGCCTGCCTGTCTGTCTGTCTGCCTGCCTGTCTGGCTCCAGGGCCGCGGAAGCCGCGTCCGCCCTCGCGGCGGGGTGCGTCGCGCCCCCGAGTCCTGCATGCGAGGGCGTGGCCGCCCTCGGGCGGATGGCACTAGGGGGTGACCCCTATCGGGGGTGAAGAACAGGGCCTGTGAAGGCGCCCTTCAGGGCCCCTCTTGGAGCCAGCCGGGGCCCAAAAAGGGCCCTCGAGGGCCCCATTTGGGCGCCCTTTTCGTCATCCACCCCCCACGACCACCCGCCCGACGCTCGTGATTGACGGGGCCCTGGGACACACAAATCAACAGACGCAAACAACAGGACTCCCCATACTTTCCCATAATTATCTTCTGGGTTTTTGTCTTCTCCCCCACTTCCCATATTCTCCCATCTTTTCTAGGGAATCGACGACTAATTGTGTCTCTGTGTTTTTTTTCCCTCCTGAGAAAAGAAAAAAAAAAAAAAAGAGAAAAAAAAAAAAGAGAAGAGAAAAAATAAAGAAAAAGACCCACCAAACAAAAGAGAAGAAGAGAAAAAAGAAGAGAAAAACAAAGAAAAAAAAAATAATAGTATAAAAAAAAAAAAAAAATAAAAAAAAAAAAAACAAAAAAAAAAAATAATAGAAAAAATGAAAAACGAAAAAACTGGGCAGAGGAAAAAAATAAAAAAAAAAAAGAAGAAAGAAGAAAAAAACAAGAAAAAAAACAAAAAAAAAGCATCTCGTGGGCTCTGGCGGCACGACCCCCCCTCCGAAATACCATGAAAAAAAACACAAAAAGGGCCGAGGAGGGCTGCGCCCGCGAGGCAGAGGCACCTCCTCGGAAGGCCGCCCCCGCCCCGCCCCCCGCGCCCCCCTCTTTCGTGTCGGGCGAAAGGGGGGGATAGCAAAGGGGGGGTTTGAGAATCAGCTCACGTAGCTCATTTTTCCCGGCGCCTCCCGGCGCTGGAGGCGCCGATGTATCGAGGAATGGGCCCCTCGGTGGGGCCGAAACCAGCTGCATGCAGCAAATTTCGTAACCCCCCCTTTCCCAATCCCCCCCTTTCGTCCGGCCCCCCTCTTCTGCGCGCCGGCGGCCGCGGAGAGCGACGGAGGTCCCAGAGATTGCCAGGGGCACCCGCGGCACGGGGAGCGTCGCGCCCGTGCGGGCGGTCGCCGGCGGGTCCTCCGCTGCTCCACCCGGCCCGCTGCGCCCCGCGGCCGCCCCTTTGCGAGCCCTCCGCCCCAAGAGGCCCCCAGGCGGACCCCCAGAGGCGCCCCCAGAGGCCCCCCAGGGGCCCCCCAGGGGCCCCTCAGAGGCCCAGGAGAGCCCCAAGAGCACTCCCGAGACAACCCCAAGAGGGGAAAGCGAACGATGCTCCTGAGGTGCTTGAGTGGTGTTCGTCGTCGCCGGCGTCGTCGTCCCCACTCAGGGTCGGCGGCACCGGCCGTAGAGCCTTCGCAAGAAAGCTGCGTGCTGCCGCGCCGCGCGCCATCGCCCATCCTCTACTGCACAAGGCAAGAGCTCTCCAGAGATCTGCAGTGGGCTGGGGCCTTGGGGGTCCCAAAACGGTGCGGTGGCCCCAAGACACCTCACCGCCCAGTCCAACGCCGCACGGCCTTGGGACCTCGGAGGCCGCGGTCGCACGAGACGTTCTCGGAGGAACGACCCAAGTACCAAAACCCTGCGGCCACCCCGAGTCCCCACCGACCTCACCACACGGCGTGCTTACCACACCGTCTTGGGCGCCCCGAGAGGGCGACCGCCGCGAGAAGCGAGCGCCCAGGGCCCGGGCGGGACGGAGGGATCTGAGTTCTGACTTCTTTGTTGGGAGCCGAGAAAACTGTACGGCCCGAAACAAGCTCGGTCCAACAGAAAGCATAGAACAGAAAGCATAGAACAAACATGCTCGGTCCAAACAAACTGTTCGGCCCCCTGACCGGCGGCGCCGCGCGCGGGAAAAAGCGCGGAGGGCGGGGAGCCGCCGCCTTCTTCCTGGTGGCCCCCTCCTTGCCCAGGGCGTAGCTCAGCTCGTCGTCCTTGAAGAGTATTCGGTCGGTGTCGAAGCCCGGTCGGTAGGACTTCTTGGTGGTCTGCGGGGGTGGGGGGGGGGGGGGGGCGGCTCTCGCAGCCATCGCCACGGGACTCGTAGGCAAAACAGATCTCCTTATCCGAGGCCTCGCGGGCCTCGGATAAGGAGATCTGTTCCTCCACTGCTGGTCCTCCTCTGCTCCACTGCTGGTCCTCCACTGCTCCACTGCGCCCGTGCGGGCGGTCGCCGGCTGGTCCTCCACTGCTCCACTCGGCCCGCTGCGCCCCGCGGCCGCCCCTTTGCGAGCCCTCCGCCCCAAGAGGCCCCCAGGCGGACCCCCAGAGGCGCCCCCAGAGGCCCCCCCCCCCCGAATCGAAGCAAGATCGGATCGCCGACCAAGATATCCCTATAAGGCCCCCCAGACCACACCGAAAACCCTAAAACCTTCCTGAAACCTTCCTAAAACCTTCCCCAGGAGGGTTTTGGGAAGGTGTTTGGGGAAAACCTTCCTGAAACCTTCCTAAAACCTCCCGACCAGCGCCGGTTGGACACAACCGTTACCGGTGAAGCGAGCCGAAGCGAATCGAATCGGACTCCTGTACCCAACCCGCGAATCGGATCGCATCGCGGACCCTCCGCGTAGCTTTCTCCAAAATATTGATCGCAGGGGATCTCCAGGCCACCTCATGGCCGCTCTGTGCGCAGCTACCTCGCAGTAGAGACCCGCACTATGCCCTGCGTTGACTCCAAGATGACCCGAACACACACGCATCCCACAAAAGCTCAACTGAAAACGGAGCAGCCTTAACAAGGGATATGCTTCAACAGCCTTCGTCTAGCCGCTGGTGGACCCCCCGTGCTGTACTACGAGGCCGTGGCCGAGAGGCCGCCCCAGGAGGCCCCTCTAAAAGGCCAGAGACCGTCCAAACATTCGAACCCGTCGATCCGACGGGGAGGGAGCTCTGCCGCAGGCTCACGCCGCGATGACGTCGGCGCTGGTTCCTCACACGGCGCGGAACGTTCCACCCTGAAGGATCGCGGCTTGCAGATCTGGGCATCGCTCGGACGTCCATTCCCTGTGTTTTTTCGGCTTCGTGCGTGTTTTTGTTCGCCAAATCCTCAAGGATGCTCCTCGATGGTCCTCGCCAAAGGAAAAAATGCACACGTCCGAGCGATGTCAAGTGCAGATGGCACAGCGCGGATCCGCTGACCTCGACTGGCTCGCCGGGCCACCGGCGGCGCTCTCGGCCCCTTGAGCGCCCGCGCTGGGGCCGCTCGCTGCAGCGCCAGCGCGGTGCGAAGCTGCTGCACTTGTTTGAGGGGCAACGAAATGGGCCCTGCGATACACAAATAAATACACACAAATAGAAAGATTCCCTGTATTTTCCTACCGCATAGACCGCCCTTCGGGTGATAAGGAGGTGAGGGGGGGAGGGACCAACGTCGCACTCGATTGATCTCACTATCGAACTCACTACCGATCTCACAATCGATCTCAATCGATAGATCTCACAATCGATCTGACTATCGATCTCACAATAAATCTCACAATCGATCCCACAATCGATCTCACATTCGGTCTCGCTATTGATCTCACAATCGATATCACAATCGATCTCGCATTCGATCTGACTATCGATCTCACTGTCAAACTCACTATCGATCTCATTATCGATCTCACATTCGGTCTCACTATCGATCTCATTATCGATATCACAATCGATCTCACAATCGATCTCGCATTCGGCCTCACTATCGATCTCTCTATCGAACTCACTTTCGATATCATTATCGATCTCACTATCGATCTCACTATCGATATCACGACCGAACTCACAATCGATCTCACATTCGGTCTCATCATCGATCTCACTATCGAACTCACTACCGATCTCATTACCGATAGTGATCTCACTACTAACTCAATCGATCGACCTCACAATCGATCTGACTATCGATCTAACAATAGATTCCACAATCGATCTCACATTCGGTCTCACTATCGATCTCACTATCGATATCACAATCGATCTCACAATCGATATCCCATTCGGTCTCACAATCGATCTCACTATCGATCTCATTATCGATCTCACATTCGGTATCACAATCGATATCACAATCGATCTCACAAGCGATCTAACATTCGATCTCATGTTCGATCTCACAATCGATATCACTACCGATCTCACTATCGATCATCAAAACAAAACATCAATATCGTCATCATCATCACCATCATCATCATCATCATCATCATCATCATCATCATCATCATCAATATCATCACCATAATCGGGACACCGACGGGGCACCGGCGGGACACCGCGGGCCCCCGGCCGCCCTGGGGCGCCAGTCATTGGTCTCGGCGCGCCTCAGCCACAGGAGACTTCCTCTCGCCCGCCCACGCAGCTTCGCCTCGCCCGCACGGCACGCACGAACACGAAACCGAAATCGATTTCCTAGTAAGGGGGCTCTCCGTTCCACTTCGATCTCACCCCCTCACCTCCGATATTTTCTGGGTTTTTGTCTTCCCCCCCACTTGCCATATTTTCCCATATTTTCTGGGAAATCGACGATAAATTGTGTCTGTGTGTTTCTTTCCCTCCTGAGATGCATCGATCTAGAATCGGCGATACATCGCCGAGAGATAGGCGATAGGCCTCCTAAAGTGGATCCGCACCTGCCTGGGCAGATTGGGGCTCTCGGGCTCCTATCGGCGATCAGTGGGCGACTGGGGGTCGATGCCTCCCCCCCCGTGTGCGTATCCCCGCCTCTCGCTGCCCCTGATTGTTTCGAGGGTTGCCCGAGGCATTCCGGGCCAAAAGGTGACCACGTATCGCGCCGCTCGGGAGCCCCCCTTGGGGCAAGGGGCCACCTGGGACTCACGAGAGAGGGTGCTCTGGAGGCCGCCGGGCCTCCCTGGGGAGTGCGGCGCCGGAAACTCCCAGGGGACACCTCGTGCGAGGGGACACCTCCCCCTGCGATCCGACGTCCCGAGGCGGGATCAGACCATCGACGATGGTCCGATTTTTTTTCGCTCGACCATCGACGATCGTCGAACGATTGGGCCATCGACGATGAAACTTGGATGATTCGTAGGGAGTCCCGACCAGAGCCCCAGAGCCCCAGAGCTAGGGGAACAAAAAGTGATATAAACATAAAAACTCGGAGGTCCGCGCGGATTTCTCGGATCGGCGCTGGGCCCCCCGGCGGCGCCTCCGGCGCCGCCCCTGGCGCGCTCCGCGCGCGCCAGGAGTATGGGTCCATCCCGCGCCGATCCGAGAAATCCGCGCGGACCTCCGAGTCTTTATGTTCATGTGACTTTTTGCTCCCCTAAGAGCCCCACCTTCCTTCGGCGGTGGACAAACCTCCCTTTAGCACACCTCCCTTCAGTGAAAACGGCCCAGGACCGAAACCGACGGACCTGGGCCCGCAACAAAATGACGGCCGCGACGCCCTCTCGCGAACCGAAAACGGCCATTTCACTAATCGACGCGTCAGGGTAGGAGGTCTATCAACCTCCGATTCCTGCGGCGCCCGTCGAGCCGCCTCCACCCGTGAGGGCCCCGGGGCCCGACGCGGGGCGACGTGGTGGCCCGGCGCGGCAGGCGTGCGCCGCCCGCACCTCGGGGGCCGCCCGCGGGGGAGGCCCCGGGCAGCGGCCGACCGCTGCCCAGCCAAAGTCGGCCGCACGCAGGAGTGACCCCGGGTGAGAGTGACCTTTGGTGCGCGGCTCTTTGGGGGCCGCGGGGGGGCCAAATCCGGGCGCGCAACCAGCTGCTGCTATAGTGCTTCGTCTTCGGCCATCTGGGGGCCCATCTGTGCCCGCACCAGAGGTCACTCCGGCGAAAGGTCACTCTTACGTCTAGTCGACAGAGGCCTCCCCGACGACGCCCGAGCAGGCGGGGCCGCAGGCTCGCGCCGCGGCGCCGAGGCAGCGGCGATACGTCGGCGCAGAGGATTTCGGGCCCCACGGCGCGAGCCGCGTCGCCGAGGCCTCGGCGGTGCGGCGCGGACCCCTCCGACGCCGTCTGCTCGGACCCCGTCGGGGAGGCCTCGACCGGCCCAGACGTCCGGCGCTCCGATTCTGGTCGATGCGTGGGCCCCCAGGGGTCTGGACAGCTTCCCCGGGGCTGGTGTTTCGTCCCGAGTCGTCTTTCGACGGTCTCTGGACCCCTTGAGGGCCCCCCGAGGCCGAAGACAGCCCAGAACTGGCCGCTCCAGTGTCTTCGGAGCCTCGAATGTCTGGGGAGACTGCCCGACGGCTCCCCGCTCTGGCGCTGCCAGGTCTCGCGTGTAGTAGCCGGGCATCTTCGTCTCCACGCCGCTCATCACCTTCAGCTCCGAGCCCCGGCGGGCCCGCCTCTGCGGAAGTGGGCCAAGCGCAATGGGGGGGGGCGAGGGTCTCACAGGGAGGGAGCCAGGCTGGGAATGGCCTGAGGACGAAAGGATGAAAATGCGGTGGCAACTCATGGGAGCCTCCTATACCATCTTGCCGGCTGTTGCGAATCGACGCTAGTCGACGCTAAATCGACGCTAATCGACGCTAATCGACGCTAGCCGACGCCAAATCGGCGCTATCTCATCGTCTCCCAGACGCGTATCGACGCTAGCCGACGCTAAAGACAGACTTGCGAGGGTATACCAGGCTCCCATGATTTGCCACCGAATGCAAGGATGAAAAGACAGCACGCCCTCAGAGCTGCAGGCGGTGCTGACCCGAGCCGCGCCATCCGAGGGCCTGCAGGGAGCCCCAGACAACACAAGTCCATAGCCGCCCCTACTCCGGAGGGTTCCAAAGAGGGTTTTGGGGTAGCCTCGGGCCGCGCAGTGCCAGCTCCGTGCAGGAGGGGCCCGACGCTTCCCGGGAGCCGGGCGTGGCGGAGGGGGAGGGCGATCAACGGGGGGGCGAAGAAGCGCTCAAGTGGGGGCCCCAGGGGCGCCCCTTCAGGCCCCCAAGGTGCACCCTTTTTCTTCACCCCCCCATCGAACGCCCCCCCCCCCCCCC